TATATATATATATATATATTGAATTTTATTATTAATTAAAATCATGCAATAATTTGAAAAGGTTATGAAAAATGTTCAAAGTAACTTAAACGATGCAATAAAGTAATCCACAAAAATCCACCTTACAACCAAATTTAATCACAACTTTAAAGATTATAAAACAAAACGAAAAACAACCCTTGTGCAATAAAAAACAAAAAAGAACAAAGAGAACAATCAAAAAAATATATTAAAAGAAAAGAAAAGGAAAGAAAAGAAAAGAAAAGAAATAGAATGGTAGCAGGGAAAGAAATGACGAGCGACGGCAGTTGCAGTGTTCAACTGCGACGAATGCGCACACACACATATCACAAACTACAAAGAAAATGCATAGACATAGGGATACAAAGATGAAAACGGCTTTGGCATTGGCGACGGCGGGAGTAGCATAAGCAAGCAAGCAAGCAGAATCGGATCCAAGAAGAAGAAGAAGAAGAAGAAGAAGAAGGAAAAGATTAAAGACCCGAACGAGTACGCCCCCGCCGGAATGATGGATGCGATGATCCCAGGCGCCGACTCTCTTCAGAGTAGGTGGAGTCTACCATTTTCATCCTAGCCATCTTTTTTTAATATTCCCTTCTACCATCAACCCCTCCTCACCTCTTCTATCTTCCCTCCTTAACCCTCCCCCTACCTTTATACTCGTACTATACTTGCTTCTTATTCTTATTCTAAATCTTCATCGTCTTATTCTCATCTTCTTTCCATCATATTATCCCATCTTTTATTTATCTATCTATTTATCTATTCATCTTTCTATCTAGTATCTCTCGGAGAATGCGGAGAATAAATGGTTTTTCATCGGTAATAGTTTGACTGAACTTTTTGCAAAGTTTATTGCAATATTGTTGAAATGATTATTAACATTGTTATTTAGGTATTTCTATTTATAGGTTAGGTTGTATTATTAATTATATTTATGGTTACTCGTGTATCCATCTATCTTTTACTAACCTAAGTTTGATTTAAATGTATTAGATTGACAACTAAATCATTGCTGATTTTAAAAAGCCAACTATCAACAAAATCTGCAATTACTCAGTTGCCAACCTATTCATGTTCACCCCTTTCTTATAATTTCTAATAATATTTCAAAATATTCTTACTAACTATAATTATACCAACAAATTAATCTAAGAAAAAGTAAAAGAATGAAATGAAAATTCAAACAAACTTTTTTCAATCCCCCTACTCTATAGCCATAATCAACCTAAAATGGCGATTCTTTTCTTAACGCGAAATACTGTATACAGATTTGTCGCCATTGAAGAAGTCCCCATTTGCTTCAGAGCTTGAACAATCTAAATGGTAATCCGATACCACACCCTCTTTGCAAAAACCAAAAACCTTTTCTTGACCGTCTCTCTTTGCCGATGCAAAAATTACCCCCTTCTTTGCGAGTCATTAAGAAATTATATACACATATACTTATACATACATATATCCTGTGCGTGTACGTTTGAGTCTGACGATGAAAGTGTATATAAAATGACTGTGTATGTGTCTACGTTTGAGTCTGACGATGAAAGAGTATATAAAATGTCTGCATGTGTGTGTGTGTGTCTACGTTTGAGTCTGACGATGAATGTGAATATAAAATGCCTGTGTGTTGTACGTGTAAGTCTGACGATGAATGTGTATATAAAATGTCTGCATGTGTGTGTGTGTGTGTGTGTGTGTCTACGTTTGAGTCTGACGATGAATGTGTATATAAAATATATGAGTTAGTGTGAGATTGAAGGGCCCCACATAAAAAGCGTTAACAAGGATACGATGCCAAGCCTGACTAATTCTAGAACTCTTCCTTTTTCCTACATCTTCCACCCCCTCAACCAACCCCATCACCTTCTTACTACTTCTTCATACCTGACTGTAATAATACACCTTGTATTTTCTTTTTCTTATTCTTCTTCTATCATCTTTATCTTATTTCAATAATGAGATTATATTCTACTATTCATTAATCTAATCTTTTGACAATTAATTCAAGCAGAAAAGAAATTAATTATGATTTTGTCTAAAAAAAAAAAAAGCTCAAACCAATAATTTTCATTGCTAAAATTATTGAAGGGATTTAACGAAAGATAGGAAAGAAAGAAGAAAGGAAAGTAATAACATAATGATATTAGCAGCAGTAAATAATGAAACAAATTAGTTTAAGATAGGAGTAATAAAGCAAGCACATACATAAATATAACATATTCCAATTAGAAAATAAATTAATTGCAAAGCATTAATAACAAACATTAGTAATTATAGATTAAATATTGAATAAATAGAAGCACATGCATTAGATTAAACAAATCACTCAACAAATATATCACAAATATTTGTTAATTCTAACTAAACAAATTTGATAAGGAAATTTCTTCGTAAATACAATTTGTTGAATAAAATAATAATAATAATAATAATATTCTTAACAAATGTAAAATATTTTAGCAATTAGTTGCAATGATCTTTCCTAATCATGAAGATTCAACAAACATAATTAAAAAATATATTATCACTTACCTGTTTGAATTGATCTTCAAAATTCCAATTGTTAGGTTGCTGACCATTCTGTGAAGTATGATTATTATTATTCTGACTGCTATTGTTGTTGTTGTTGTTATTATTATTATTCTGACTGCTGCTGCTGGCACTACTGTTGTGGGAATGATGATGATGATTATTATTGGTATTGTTGCTGACATTGAGTGAATAATTGGTAGCAGAATCAGGCCCATTTCTTGATCCTTGTGGAGATTCACTGGAACGTGAAGGACTGCTGGTTGCATCCTGGTTGTTGTTACCAAGTGGTACATTTAACACTTGTTGCATCGATGACGATGTACTAGGACCATCTCCAGCAACTTGCATGGGGGTTGACGATGAAGAAGCTTGTATCATTCCACCAATTCCCATATTTGATAATGGCATTATGGGTATAAATCCTGGCAAATTTATAACCCCATTGCTGACAGCAGCCTGGAACGCTTCCAAATTTGTTCTTGACAGTACATCGGCTTCCTAATTAACAAAACAAAAATTAACAACAAATTAATAAATATTCATTGATAATGTAATTGTTATTTAGATTTTTATAAATTATTGGTTAATATAATATTAAAATATATTTATAATAAGTAAATATGTATATATAAACGTTTGTTATATTCGTTTATGGGGTTTGCAAGGTTGACAAGTATTTGTCATTCAATTTAATTTCAGATAAAAGATTCTTCTTCTTCTTCTTCTTTTTTTTTTTATTAATTTTCTTATTCACCCTTTCCATTAAATTCATTCTTAGCCCCATGCATATTCTATATCATTCATATGATATTAAATAATATATATATACATATATGATTATGGATCAATAATAATAGTTTGATCAATTGTGTTTTATTACTCAATTACAATGATACAAAACATATCGAATATTATTAGTATAATAAATATAAATTTATATTTATATATATATATATATATATATAT